TGGGTGTAATTTGTGGCTGTCTATATGTGTGTCCATGGCTCCCGCGATACAGGATTGCCCTAGTGCGGGGCTATGAGTGTGTGCGTTATTATTATTATTATAAATAGAAAGAAAGAAAGAAAGAAAACTGTTTATTACAGAAGCACAGACACGCATATAGATAAAACAACAGAGGAACAATAACAATAATAATATAATAATAATAATAATCTAATCTTTAATCGTTTAGGCCTTGGGAGAGGCGAGAGTTTAAAATAAATACAATAATAATAATAGTAATAATAATAATAGTAATAGTAATAATAATATTAATAATAATAATAGTAATAGTGGCGTGTCCGTTCCAGCACAAATGCAGAAGGCGGTCCTGCTCGATACGGCACGTATTGTTCGCCGATTCTTGGACCTGAGTCTCTGACCCCGGCCGACTGTGCCATAGCCGGGAAATACCGCCTCTCTCATTTAAAAATTCAAAATTAATCTTTTAGGCCTTGGGAGAGGCGAGAGTTTAAAATAAATAGTAATAATAATAATAATAGTAATAGTAAATTTGTGCGATAAAAGCCCTACTGGTTCCGGTAGGAATATTCTTCGATCTAATGATGATGAAATACGATACAAACTAATGTATTATAGTAGTTGCAAAGATAATGCGATGTGGTTTTTGTGGCTGAAAAAAGTTGTTAACTCTTTCATGGACGGTAAAAGCGTTTTTCGTAAAATCGAATGTTGGAATGTACCTCGGTGTACAAGTACGGTGCTCGTACCTTGTTTCGCTGTATAGATCTCAAAAAACCAACTACGGACTTTGTAGTGTGATTTCCAAGTACTTTTTGGATAGTTTCCGCTTACTGCTTATCCATAAAGAAGTATTAACAATGTACTGATAAAACCGTAGGTATTGAAAAAATAAGGGAAATCTGCCATGGCTCTATGTTAGATCGCGTAAACTATGTCGCCACTTTTTGTCAAGTGTGCAAATCAAACTTTACGCTCTATTATTTACTGCCATAAACTAACGATTTTGATTGGTTAGCGCCTAAAAGCGGCTTAAAACATGAAAACGACGTAATCCTAATTTATTATTTTAATAATATTAAACTTACATTCACTTGCATAAGATTTATATTGCAATATTTCAGTATTTTTTTCATTCTGGTGCAGCCATTCACCGTCAAGTGGCGGTGGCGTCAGTAAAAATGCTACTTGTTTTAACTATTACACGTTAAATGACGTTTAAGGTCATTTTACTTTTTATGGTCCTGTATGTAACGATTATAATAATTGAGGCGCTACTCGACGAGAGCTTGACTTACCTAATCGATAGTCAGGGTGTTTTGACAGAGAAACCAATGTGGCTGTTATTAATAGTTAAAAAAATATTCTATTGTCCATACGAGGTTCATACTATACACTACAATGCATTACCGGGTTCAGACTTCGACTCCTTATGTTTTTATACGTTATAACGAGTTGGTGAAGCTGTTATAGTTAACAGTAACTTGAACCATCAACAAATGACCAACAAATGCATTTGCTATGGAAGTTTAAAGAAAGTCTGAAATAACGATAAGGAAATAAATCTTTCGACCTTCCTGAAGCTTTATTCAACCTTCCTTTATTTTGGACTCATTAGCATAGCTGAAAAAATAAAAATGTTCAACGTTTAATCTACGAATATAATGGAATTTAAATACCCAAATTATACAAATAATATACACATATTTTTACATTGGCGACATACAAATTGACATGAATATATGACATGATTCACATAAAAATTTGTTGGTAAAAAAAGTTAAAAATAAAATGGTTTAATAATAATAAGAATACCGCCTTTCCCATTTAAACATTCTAAATTAATCTTTTAGGCCTTTGGAGAGGCGTGACTAAAATAGAATACTTTTTGCTTCGACATACTAGGGACTTTAATAACAAAAATCATAGTAATAAATCCAAAGACTTTTCGGTAAAAATAAATAGTGGATAAACATCAGTCATCGTCAATGAACATCACTATGTTCGAGTCCACAAATTTCTATGGAGACAAAAAAAAACATTGAATAGTAACAGAAATATTAATTGATAATGCAAATAACCGGTGCTACGTTATCCCACTAGTTATGAAATTATTGTTTCCCCGTAAGGTTCACTCAACAAACTGGCATTTTCACGTTTTACGGAAGATCTTGTATGTACAACGATTGCCACGCCACTGTGTTGAGATGTTTGAAGTCGTGTCACCTCAATATGCGCATTTTGGGCATATCGAGGCGACGAAAACCACGCCCTCATAACAATCTCTCCTTTTTTTCCTATATCTATGGACAAAACTTAATGATTTACATATATATATTAAACGTTTTATATTGAATCAATATAAGCACTACGGCGAGAAAAGTACTGAGACTTGTGGGCTGTACTATTTAAATACTGCCCATGAAAGGATTAAGCTTGCTGAAGTTAATTGTCACTTCAAATCTTGTGTTGACGACTATTACACATATAATACACATTGCATGGTCAATTTATCAACTGCTTTCATATAAAAAATAGACTTTTACATGATTAGCTAACAACTGTTTAAAACGGGAATGTTATCTTTTGCTGAATTACTGTTTTACAATATGTAATAAGTGTGGTTTAGTTTTAATTAGGAGAGGTAAGTTATCACATTTAATAACGTGGCATTTACAAAAAGTTATTTTATTTGCTATTTATAATAAATAGATATGGATAGATATCAGCATATTAAAATAATATCTAATGATGACATGAATTTGGTTATTATAACGTGTTGTTGAACTAGTTCAAACTGTACTAACTTATCAAACTAATAAACGCGTCCTACCTTTCGCAAATCATCCATTTTTCTTGCCAAGCTTTCCAGCATGCCTTCCGTCAAACGTAAAGAACTGATGAGTGTAGTCAGAGAACTGTCATCAGTGTCAGTCTTATTTAACCAGCTGAGAGCTTCGTCTTCGAACTTTTTGGCACGGCGCTCATTGTCCATACGCAGCCAGTAGGTCCATAAGTTGACGAACAGCCGGCGTCGCGCCGCACTGCCATTATTGCTCTCCATCAAAAGACCATGCGAATACTTGTAAATTGAGCCAGGCGAAGCTAACTGGAATCCTGCATCCAATATCAAATCCATACAAAGAGCATAATACCAAGTTTCATTAGCTTGTGACTCCTTATTACGACTGATCACTATCGCTAACTGCACAACGTCAACTGCTTCTTCAAATCGTTTACGTGCAAGCAAAATGTAAAAGAGATCAGGAATAATATCCACAGAAACATTGTATGCATGAAGAAATTTGCTCACTATCATAGCTCGAAATCCTACACGAATCGCAGCTGGTAGTTCAGCTCGAGCTAAGCGAGCCCGGAAGGTTGCCACTAGCACTTTCCCTATCGAATAAAGCTTGTCTGCCTGAATCGGTTCTTTAATTTTCGTAATAACTCTTTTGAATATCCGCTCAATTTCTGTAGTTCCTTCAGTAAGCCCTTTATCAAGCTCTAGCTGTGTACCGATAGATAGAGCGTCGCATACATCCTCTAACCTACAGTCTACTTGTTGAATTCTGTCTAGGGCCCATGTTGACGTTAGTTTTGCTGTTTTATCATCGCCCATTGCAAAGTATACTGACGTTGCAACATTTAAGCAGAACACAGAGTCGGCAGCAATAATTTCCTCGTGTTCTTTATATTTCCGTTTCTTTACTTTGATATTTTTGAATAAAGCCTTAAATCTTTCTAAATCCGAAGTCACTTGATTTATCTTCAGACCATATATCCTGCAAGCACGTTCCATGTACATTTTGGACACGAGCAATTCTCCTTTTATAAATTCGCTAGCAGCTCTAAGTGAGTGTATTCTACCTAAAAATATTTTTCTTTGTACAGAGGAAAAATTTAATTCTTTGCCTTGTTTTGTCAAAATTTCCTCAGCATTCGTGATTACTTCTATTGCACTTTCAGCATTATTCGCCATTAGATGTAAGTAACTAAGTTGTACAGAAAATTCAATAACTTTTTCCTTCATTTCTGCAAATAAAGCATGTGTAAGGAGCTGCTCATGTAGCAAAATCTTAAGGTCCGAACACGTACATCTTTTGAAATCAATGGAAGAAACACCCTTCTCAATAGGTATTGAAACATTTTGATCATGGAAATATGCTCCTATCTGGTCAGTGCTGTCGATAACACCTAACTCGTGCCATTCGCTCAGGTCTTTGGCCTCTAATAAAGGTCGTAACATTATTTGATTCATTGATTCGGATACATCGACTTGGCTAAGAGATCTAAATATAAAACTAGACACTGTAACTCTTTTATTACTTGCTCTGTTCCAATTAGGGCCTTCTACTGAATTCTTCAAAATAGAGTGGCTTTGTGTGTAATTACGTAATGGTAATAAAAAATTTGTCTCACGTCTCAACATTGCACTGGCCGTAGTCAAGACATCACTGGTTTTTCGATCGTCTGCATCGGAATATTCTTCTTCAGAATAGAATGACTCATAACTATGTTCATGAGCCAACGTTGCCACGCTGGGCTCATCTTCTTCAAGAGGGAAAAAATTCATGTACGATTCGAGTACAATTAATGTGCCACCACATTCGGGACATTTTTGGTTATTGTTTTCTAAGTAATTAACAGCTCTGGCGTGGAATTCTTTTTTTTGGTTCATGGGCAACAGTTCATAACAAGTTAACTGCGAATTTTTGTTTTTGAATTTTATTACTTGACAGTAAGCATATTTAGGAAGGTTCTCTTCATTATCTGGATCGTATTCGATGGGACATTCACACACTAAATTTGTATTGTTACTGAGCCTAGACGTTTGTGTTTGCGTAGATGACAACGATGAAAACTTTTTCATTTTCATTTTTACATTTGCACAACCCAGGATTCGCATGGCAAAAAGCCTTTTTATAGCCTTCGCTGTAACAAGCGGTTGATTTTCGTACATTATACTTTCAAGCAAATCTCGTGAAAAAACGTTACCGATTACTGAAGCTATTTTTAAAAGGAGTTGTTGATATGGGGTAAGAGAATCTATCTGGATCATAATTAATGCATCCACGTTTTGGACATTTATATTTACGTTTAGTTCTTCCTTCTCAGTGACGACACATATAGACACTTCGTCGTCATCGTTTTCCTGCAACATCGCGTCGAGTTCCTCCTGTTCGTGTATGTTAACGGCTACCGGGCGTAATAAGTTAGAATCAGGAAATCGTAAAGCTTCATCTTTGTACTCTTCTAATTCATATAGCGGAATTTTTTTTAACTCTATTGCTCCAGTGGAGAATAAGTGAACGATGAAACTTTCTACCAATCCAGGCATTCCATTACATTTTACAATGAGAGCGTTGCACAAGTCTCTGGGTACTGCATCCACGTCTAAAATCTGGCATGCCAAAGGCGGGATCCATACCGAAGCTAAAGGACCCAGAACCATTTTTCTCACATTTTCATCTATAAATACGCTGTAGAGCCACGTGTGGACTGAGCTAAATTTTCCGCGCGTTACTGATAAAACTGTAAATATTTTCATGGATTCAAAAATAATAGATATGTATTCCCAAGATGCTGCATCTAAATTGTGTAAATCATCAAGAAATATCATATGTGGCTGCCTTATGGCCCTGATAAGTTTTCTGAACATAATTTTAGCTTTTTCCTTCCGTTTTTCTTCATCTTGTGTAAAAATACCTTCGTGGTAAGCAAAACGTACTTTTATGATATTGTTCAGATAACACAAATCTTCATCGTAATTCTTGAGAATATCACATATTTTTTGTTCTTTTACAAAACCGATTGTAGCTGGTTCTGTTATGCCCAGAATTTGTTCGATAATTTGGCTAAGCGCTAGATATGAAGTAGCAGAATGTATTGAGGTCAAATGGATATATGATATTTGAAAGTTCTTGTGACGTGCTTTACGAGACATCCACTCGAGCATTCTGCTCTTTCCAATGCGAGATTCGCCGATCAGCAGTAGAGCATCAAAATCTCTATGAACAGCTCCGTTTTGCTTCATCCAGCTATCGAAAAACTGTAGTTCGTCGTCGCGATCCAGAAGAGGTGGTATTGTGGTTATTGTGCCCATCTCTTTCAGTCTTATTTCTTCCGAGTACTCGTAAATTTTACCTGGGCTTTGTATGCCCTTAAGATCGGTTTTTGGTTGCAAAGTGAAGCTGTTAGAGGACATTTTACTCTTAATGAACGTGGTTTCATCGCATGTAATTTTATTATGGAATGAACACATTAATCTGGCAGCTTTATTGACTATCGAACCGATGACAGTAAATTCTCTACGCAGAGGGTGGCCCACTACACCGCAATAAACTTGACCTGTGGTCACTCCCAATGACACGTCCAGGACTCCATCGAGAGCAGCTAGCGATTTCCTAATACTGTATCCACATTTCAAGGCTGCTTGTGCTTCTGATTCATGCTTGAAACCTCGTAATCCAAAGATGACCAAGATCATTACATCTTTATCAAAAAGTATAATTTTGTTAACACAACCCATTGACTTATAAACGATTTCGCAAGTTATTTGATAGGCATTGTTGACTATAGTTATGAGTTGCAAGGGAGCGCATTCCCTGGGTTTGAGTGTTATAAATAAAACGGACACTTGTCTCATTTCTGTAAGGTACTCAAGGGGCTGGTGAGCGTCGATCTGAGTTAACACAGGTTGTATCATAAATTTTCGAATATCCGATCCGATATTTCTTTCTTCAGCTACTAATACTGCTTTTCGTAGATAAAGTGCTTCAGCTTTCTTGGCAATATCTGACGGGCTTAAATTTTTAGGAGAATCCATAAGGTTGCTGGGAAGAGATTCGATAGTCGTGTACGGTCTTCTGATATTTCGGATTAATGTAGTAAATCCTAAGTATGGTTTGTTGACTTCGTTGTCGTGGGGATCGTACAGAATAGTTTTTATGGTAACGTGACCATCGTCATGAATTACATGATCATAATTTCTGGAATAGCAATGTGCCCATGCAGAAGGTGTTAATTTCACTTCCCCTGAAGAGCACACGCTTTCTGCCAGTTTCGCTTCTATGACGGGTAAGCCAAATAAAATGTAATTCATGTCTATACCAGAGCCAATAACGGAAAATAATAGATTGCCTGCGGAGATTGCCAGTTTCACTCTGAGATTTACTTTGACGTCGGTCTCGTACTTTGCATATGAATGTTGAATGACTAACGCGCACGTAATAACCGAATGGATGGTGTGGCTCAGAAATGTCTTCTTGTCGGTTTTCCAAAGAGCCAAGAAAGCGTCACCAGCAAACTTAATCACGTCTCCTCCGTGATTGTATATAATGTCTACGAGTGCACCAATGTAGGTATTTAAGGTAACAGTCAATCTATACGTGCCGCCCTTTCCAGTATTTGTATAGCGTTCCGTGAGAGCGGTATACCCGGCTACATCGGCCATCATAAGAACACCGACTAACCGCTTTGGATCGGCGTGATCATATCTGTAACAGTAAAAGCAGAAGATATTCATGTTATTCAATTAGATAAATACAAGTGTTTAAAATTTTTGGGTAAATAAGATACTTACTTCGGCAATAATAACAGTTCATTGGGCACAAGTGTTGCAAGAATCAAGGTTTGTTTACTGGTGAGTTGTACGTCCATGTCTTGGTCATTCATGCCGGTTATGCAAGCTACGCTTTTGCGACCGAAAAATTCCTCGGCCCAATTGATGCATGTTTCATTTTCAATAGGTAAATCGTTGTCAGAATCGTCATCCAAGTAATCGGTGCCTCGGCGGGAGATCCTCCTGCCGAGAGGTCTCCATTTCTCGTTGACGTCTAACATATGGTTGATTGAATTTCGTCGTGACCGGTTGCGCTTTGATTTACGGAAGCTCATTGTGCTATTGTAGGTACTAGTTTCTACTTGAATTTAGGGGTTGTGTCCGATTAAGTTTTTCTTTCACTTTAACTTAACCTAAATTAGTTGTCAAAAATCTACGAGGTCGTGAATGCAAACTATGAGTACTCAAAATAGTGGCTTAATACATTTAAAAATCTTTATACCCAGTTCGTTGAGACATGCCTGACGTCGTATGTTACTGACGTCGTTGTCCCGGATGTCAAGAGACGTCGAGTGTCACTTAGTCCATCTTTTTGCTTATTATTAACTGATTTTTTTTTTTTTTATTAATGCATCATGTTTACTGTTTGTGCTGTTATAAAACGGGGACATTCAACACTATAAACGGGATTTTTGGATTAAAAGGGATACTGCTTTTATACTTACCTATACGTTTGTGTGTAAAACTTATTGTATGTCTTTTACGACTCATTTATAATGGTACTTGGTCGCTATATCGTCTTGACCGAATATTGCTACGTGTTTGACTAAAAAATACGTTCTCACTTTAACCTTTCCCGAATTATAGTTTTCGGATAACGCACTTTAAGGAAATGTTACATTATATTCCAATTTTATCTCATTTCCTTCTCTTAAAAAATTACTGAATTTTCAGCAGGTGTTCGGCTAGGGGCTATATCCACAATTTTAAGGTTTTTATTCAAATTGATGTATTTGTATGTATCAATACACGAACAGTTATTATTCTGGAATATTTGCGAACATGCATAACGTTATTTCTTGTAGAAAAGCAAAATATATACATTATTAACTTTTCTTGCGAATACATGACGCTGACTGTACATATCGGCGAGTAAACGTTGTTGTAGGTAATTGAATGCCTGTCGTGTAAGTAGGTGCCTAATGCGCTTCACGCCTTAGCCGTGTTAAGTGTGCGCGACCCGTTGACTCGCAGTCACTCGCTAAGCACTGCATGGTTCACACCTGACAACATCGTAGCCGCTTCGGTACATCCGCGACAAACCGATTACCGTAAATGTGTTACTTCCGCGCCTTACGATAATGGCGAACAACGATAAGTCATTTTTGGACAAAGTGTTGAATATGGTCAAGGAGGAAACCTCCAAAGATGTTCCTTTGATTCAATTTAAACATCCCAAGGAGTTGGAGGTGAGACATTTTTTTTAAACACATATCCGTTATATTGTGTAACTAATATTTAATAGTAGCAAGATAGGACGTTCTTGACCATTTTATCAGACGAAGTGATACAAAGAAAGTGAAAGTTATTTTACAATATCCAGTGTGCATTTTATAGATTGCAAAAAATATGTCTGTGTTTAGTAACGCATTAAAGTTAAAGATTTTCGTTGACAAAATGTTATAATAAAAGACAATACAAAAACATGTCTGAGACTTAGTTTTGTCGTTCTCGTTAATGAATACTTCACCTTCCCGTGGACGCCGTGGTGACTAATGAGTACAGCTACGGCAGTCTCGCTTTGTTTTGGTCTAGGTGCGCCGATTGCAAATTAAAATAATTGCAACAGTACAACGAATGAAAAAATGTCAAGACTGAAAAATTGCAACGTATTTTTAGGTTGTATCACGATGCCAATCTCAAGTTATTCCGTCTAGTTACTATTTTTTGTTCTAAAATAGCAATCGAACTGTAACATATCTTTTACAACTTTACCACTAATAGTGGTGAAAACATTCTTCGACAAACATGAAGCGACGATTAAATGAAACGTCTTGTAAGTACCGGCTTATGTATACAGGGTGTAATCGTGTGCCCAGGTCATTATTCCGTAAATATTAGAGATATCAAAAACCTTTAAACTATATCGAAAGTACGTAACGTTATGAGTAAAATGGCAACAATAACTTAAATTTTTTATTGAATTAATATTCAATTATTTTTTATGTGAAATTACTCCACTAGTTTATTATAATTATTAATACAAAGATCGAACACTCAGAAAAAATTCCTTCGATCCGGCCGGATGCGAACCGACGTCTTCTAGCATATCGTGCCAGACGCTATACCAACTAAGCCACAGAACGAACCAGCGGACCTAACGAATTTTTCTGTGTTTGTTGCCGTGTCTTTGCATTTGGTTTCTCAACGACTTTTTAGCCGTAGCGCCATCTATGAGAAATGTTATGTATTTCGTCACGCAGTTAGATATCTTTACAGCTACCAGCCCTAGCTAGAGATTTCGCTAATCATTGTATTAAAATTTTTATTGAATTGATATTAAATTATTTTGTCAAATTACTCCACCAGTTTGTTATAATTATTAATACAAAGATCGAAAAGTCAGAAAACCCCAAACTACAGCCCCATTTATTAAATATGTGGAAGAGTTTAACGTTAATATTTTGGCTATAGTTTTGTTTAAAAAAATATTGATGTCGTTTTACTCATTAGGTATTGCACTGTCGATATCAGTCTAAAGGTTTTTGATATCTCTTATTATTCGCGGAATAATCGCCTGGACACACTTAAGGACTACACCCTGTATGCCAATAGTAGTAAAATACGGATTAGTAATTTTATTTTAATATAAATTGGTTTTATCTTATCGTAGTCTAGGCAGACTAATCGAAACGCTGTCCTGGTTTATGTTTAAGTGCTTGAATGCAACTGGGCTATCTGAATGATGCATTTAATTGTTTGATTATATTTTATGTATTTATCCACTATAGCTTACATTGCTGCCATTGATAATCTTGAATACACATACGAAGAATGATGCCATTGATTTATAAGTGTTGATATTATATGATTGACATTATGATATCACTATGAACTATTTTGTTCATGAAGGATCTTTTATAGGTATAAAAACATAGTTGTCACGATTTGAGATGGTTACATAGATCGGTCAACATTGAAAGTAAATTTACTCCATCAATATAACAAAACAGGTACAGTTCTATCGTAGGAACGAACAGACTTTGTACTAAGTGAAGTAGACCAATTTATTAAAAAAAATATTCACGGTACGTTACGAGATAATCCTGTGTCATAAGCATTTATGTTTTTATTTTGATAAGAAAATCTTAGACCTGGACGTGACAAAAGGCGTAAGCGACGAAAAGCTGGAGGTGTGCGTTCGACAAATTCTACAGTTTAGTGTCAAGACCAACAAAGCCACCTTCCGAAACCAGCTTTATGGAGCTTTGGACCCCTACGGACTAGCAGGAGCCTGGGTGGCAGAGGCCTTCAACACTAGCCAGTAAGTAATACAGCGTAACAATTCTCATCATTTTCTGATTGGACCATGTAGTTACCTTCCTTTTGCTCTCTTCCTACCCTTGTGCAAACGATGCTTTAAGGTACCTGGCCCCTAATCGACCATTTGTTCTGAGTAGATTAGATGAGTGTGAAGAAAAGTGTTAGACAAACTTAACCTGTTGTAACTTTCATAGTGCATCATTAGTGAATGATATTTAAAAAAAACTTTTAAAGTCAATTTGATCTTTGACGTATAATTACTTACATGTACTTTCGACAGTAGAGCTGGTATTCCTTTTACACTTTTGTGTAGAATGCGTAAGAATAGGCTCTTACAACCAACAGGTCGGTTGTTACTAATTTCCGTGGCAATTTTTATTATTTAAATACTCAAGTATGTTATCGTGTTATTATTAAATAATATTTCACGATAGATAAAGTAAATTTTCTCAACAGCGAAAAAAGTACCCTTGTACGGCGGCTATATCTAAACGACAGAAACAAAATTTTTACCCCAAATTACGATTGAAGCCATGCCATATTCAGTCGACTTAGAACAAATTTTTAACTACCGCCAAAAGAAGTTTGTATGGCAGCCATATTGAAAAAAGAGGAAACATAAATTTTGACTGAAAATTATTATCGAAACATACACATTTTCAGTCGAATTTGAGCAAATATACAAACACAAACACAAATATTTATCGGCCTGAGGCCTACTATTCGTTACAACATCAGTCCAATAAAAATATTTTTCATTGTTTTTTGAAAATCAACTCTTATAATCCCCAACCCTTAAAAATTCATACATTTCACTTTGTTGGGCCGAGTGGCCCAATGAAATTAAAGCCATTTGAAAAAAGTATATCGTAGTAGTATTTCACCTGTTGGTAATAAATTAATAATTGTGGGCCTATGATACATACATTATATCTATTGAATACTGAGGTTTTCTAGTAAAATTGCAAGGTAAGTTTGTATTTTTTTTTATGTTTTTATGTAAAAATTTTCATTTTTAGGAATCGTGTTTTCACACCATATAAGTAATCAGTGTATATCATGAATTTTACTATATATTTTTTCCAAAGTGACTGTCGGCGTTACAATTTTCGTAAGCCAGATAAGTGCTTCTATATTATATTTATTTAAAATATGCCCGTTATTTATTTACTCTTGTTCTACTGTCAACGACGAGGTGTCGTTGCTTGGAGGAAATTTCTGCTTAGCAATAAATAGCAATCACTTGAGGTCTTCAGTGCTCACACGCTATCAATAAAAAGACGTCTGTGGAAGAGTGCCATATCTTCCAAGACAAAAGGGGGACATGAGGCATCAGATAAGGGGCCGTATGACAATCAATCAATTTTATTACAGTGCTTTGCATACTTATTTTAATGATATGCGTTATCAGTTCATGCACTTCGCACGACGAGCAGTTTTGATGTAACTCCATGTGGCAGATTATACTGGAAATGTGTAACCAAGGCAGTGACAGTGCGTTCTTATGGGTCGGCTCAAGTTGGCGCATAAAGAAAGTCATGGTTTTCAAATAAAATTTCGCACATAAATTTCCAAAAACTCAGAAGTGCGATTCGAACCCACGACTTATGCTTGAGAGGCGATAGGTGAAAGTAATAGGCTACTACGGCTTCGTGCCCCTATATTAATATAAGTTCATAAATAATGATGATTAAGTACTGGATTGTAGCAGTCTCTATTGCTCTAGTCTAGAGTAAGTAGGTACTTCAAGGAGAGTTCCCAAATTTAATTATTTTTACAGCAAAAATTAAATTATTATAATATTAATGTAAACACATAACACATAATTTTTAAACATTGTAAAGGCCATTATTTAAATCCAAGACAAAATGTTTATCAAAAAATAATCATTTGGGAAAAAGCACCAAATTTTTTAACAATAATTTTAGAAATTTTCAAAAGAAATTGGTTTTCAAAAATATTGCAATGTAAACCTTTTTTAGGGCATCGTTTACTATCATAAGCCGTGCATTACAAAAAAGTTAGGTAACACTATTTATCCTGTCATAGAAGCACGTTTGTAGGGAAAAGTATATTGCGTTTTAAGTCTTCGAAAATCCTGTGTCCCGGGACTTAAGTACATCGTGAACCTAACCACTTGAAACATTGCGTAATTTGGTCGCAGAGCGGTTTGCCATTTTAGAGTAGATTCAAAAGTTGATCACCTTCTGATTCCAGTACACGTCGACTAGACGTTATAGCAAACTATTTTATTAGCCCACATAGCAAAGATTACCCGATTCATGCCAAAACATTTTGAAATAAAATAATTAACATTGTAAATGGTTTTTGAACTAACATTTAACATTGTACTAAAAATCAAGCCTATGAGTAATTAATTTGTCGTTCCAAATGATGAGGTTGAAGTTAGGAGACAAATCTTGGGTATTCGCAGTGATGGTGCAACTGGTTGGGTTAGGTTAGGTGAGGTTAGGTACCTCGGGTAACTAAACAGTCCTGTAATACAATAACTCCAGTGTTGACTCATATCTTTAACTTCTGTATTACGTATGGTGTCTTCCCGCGAGTTCGCGATAGCGCCCATAACAATAGGCCAATTTTAGACCTCATAGCCCTTTCTAATATTCCAGAGAGATACCTTGGAGACACCCCAGTACCTGCTTAATCAAATATCTTGAAAAAATTTAGTTATTGGTTAACAATGAAAACCTACTGTTTTCGAAGCAATCAGAAGACGCTATACAGAATGTTGTGACGAACCTTGTTAAAAAGTATTGACAGCAACCTTAAGTGCGATGGCATGACAGACACCAGACATGACATTAACTATGACCATATTAATGATACCCTCTCTAAGGTAGTTTATTGCTAACAATTTATTATGAAGACAAAATGTGTTAAATTTGAATTACCTGACGTAAAATCGACTAGTCCAAGCATAGAAATAAACGGAGAAAAGTTAGACCTTGTTAATATAGCAGTCTTCTTGGGTGTGACCTTAGATAGTAAACTTCAATGGCTTCCACATATATCTTCCCTGGCCAGCAGCTTAAGCCCCACTGCATACGCAGTCCGCAGAATACGTGAGCTTACCGATATTAGTACTGCTAGACTAGTTTACTTTAGTTACTTCCATAGTATAATGTTCTACGGGATTCTCATGTGGGGTAAAGCGGCAAATATTCAAACCATATTTGTATTGTAAAGACGAGCGATTCATTGTGTACCGTCTAGGCTCTCGGGTTTCTCTCAGAGAAAAGTTTAAGGAGACTGGTATCATGACTGTGGCATCACAGTACATTTACTCAAATATTTTATATGCCCGTAAAAATATACATAATTTCAATAAGAAAGAAAATATCCATAATATTAACCTTAGAGCTAAGTCCAAACTCATGGTACCATGATTTCGTTTAACCAAGGTAAACAACTCTTTTATGGGGAACTGTATACGTTTTTACAATAAGATTCCGGAGCATATATTAAGTTTATCATTTCCTAAGTTTAAAAACTACATTAAAAATATTTTTATCGAAAAATCATATTACAAAATTGAAGACTACGTGTTAGATAAAGATGTATGGAAAGACGACACGGCTCCAGAATGCACACAAATTTGATTTAAAGTGTATTCCATAGCATTTAAGTTTATTTGAAAACAGCAATACCTAGAGTTCCTTGCTCGTTCTTCTGAGGCAGGTCAGCGTAGTGAACGAGCAGTAGCTTAAATGTGACGTTTTCAAGTGTAAATTCATTTTACCTATGGAATAAATAATCTTTGACTTTGACTTTGTTTCCCTTAGATGGAAAATTTCTAGACTTTGCTTATTTTTGTGCTTATGAAGGATTTATGTAATTTTCTATAATTGTTTTTAATTTATTTTGCATACATATTACGTCAAATAAAGGCGTTTTTATTTTAACTGCTTATTTTTATATACGAATACCTTGAAATGTCATAATACTTAAAAGAAATTGGAATAGGCAGTTTCTTTAAAGGCTTTTGGAACTCTGTCATACTTTAAATTTTCTATTCGCCGTGATTTTTAAAAAAGGCGTTGAAAATTATAGATTTTTCTACGAATGTACCCTTGTAGGGTTCTTGTTCAACTACCAATTTGTTTACGTTTGAAACCACAATCAGAAAGCAAATAAAGAATTTAAGTGGGTAACAATGCAATTTAGTAATTAGAGGACATACTCGTAAGTAGCGAAATCCTGATCTGTTCTATTTCAGGTACACGTTCGAAGTGGCACCAGCCTTCACACTAATAGAGTTAAAGATAATCAACCATATCCTCAAACTATTTGGCATTCCCGATGGAGACGGGATTTTCAGCCCTGGAGGCAGTATGTCCATGATGTACGCTGTGGTCGCAGCTCGGTACAATGCGTTCCCTGACGTTAAGCGGAATGGAATGTGGAATCTTCCAAAAATGATACTTTTCACATCTAAAGACGTAAGTTATATATACATCCCAGTACATTGAACGGAACAAACAAGTGGCAATATAGAACAGTGACGATTATATTTAAATAAAAGGAATTAAACATGGTTCAACATCGACTAACCTTCTTATACAACATAAAAGAAAATGCTTTAAAATTAATAATTAAAAAAAAATGTTTAACATTGATTAAGTCGAAAAGGAAATTAAAACAAATGTATGAAAAAAAGACATCTGATTATTTTTTATTTTCACATTAGACCTAAAATAAAAAAAATAATTAATTGGCCAGACTTTTGAGAAGCCACTGCATTATTTGGGGATTTATTAAAGTGCGGATGTGTGTAATAAATAAGAAATTATGTGCTTGGTTTTGGACGACGGATGTCGAATCCTAACAAATGTTTTGGGGTCAAGTTTTATAATCGGGATACGTATTTTTGCATTTAGATCACGCATTGCAACGAAAGTTCATATGTCAAGGACCCAATATAGCCTTATTCTTAATGATTTCAGAGTCACTACTCAATAATGAAGGCCGCTCATTGGCTCGGTCTCGGCACGGACTGCGTCCGGGTAATCAAAGCGGATGAACGAGGGGTCATGGTAACCGAAGCGTTGAATAAAGCCATAGAGGAAGAAATAGAGGCCAACAATATTCCCTTATTGGTAAATGCTACAGCTGGTACCACAGTCCTTGGTGCCATCGACGATCTGCAATCAATTGCGGCTACGTGCAAGAAGTTTGGCGTCTGGTTGCATGTTGATGTGAGTTTCGCCACATCCTTATCTGACGAACATATTCGACGATGGATCAGTAGCCACGGGTTCTTTACTGAGACCAGTTGTTGTTGTGTGACATGTCATTGATTAATGATTATGGGAGATGTTATCTTTTTTTCGCATCGAAAATCGCAAAAATGTCAGTGCAATGCCACTGCGCCCGTCACCCTGAGACCTAAGTTGACAAGTCCCATGTGCCCGGCACTCTGAGACATAATTTGAAATGTCTCTTGTGTCTGTAATTTCGCCAGCACCCATAAGGCGCATTCAAATTAGACGTTTGCAGCGGCGCTACTACTCTAATTTTCATACAATATCTATTCTACAAAAGTGACGCGCGCGTGGCGCGACAATGGCGCTGCAGTTGCGTTTCAAAATTTTGTATGAAACAAAAAACCGACCTCAAAAGTCATTCATTCCCTAGTTTACCACCCTTAGAGGTGGAATATTTACGATTTTGATGATTAAAGTATCATCAAACACATGCAAAACATAAAAAAAAATACATTCGAATTAAGAACTTCCTCCGTTTTTTGAAGAGGGTTACTTAGTAGTGGTGCGGCTACAGCAGCACTGTGGCGCCACTGCTGCGACTGTATAAGCGTCTTCGTAATTTGAAGGAATCCTTACCCTTCAAAACTGAAACGCAGTAATGCTCATTTTACTGCTTGGCGGCAGAAATAAGCAAGGTGGCAGAACTTCCCCGGACGAACTCTTTCACTGGGAGCTCTACTGCTACTAAACATGTTTGTGTAGTTTACTATTTATGCGTAGTCATACGAAAGTAGTAGTCAATTTTTGTAGTTGCAACGCACTTGGCGCGACTGCATTATAATTATTGACTGCAGTTGTGTGTGGTGTTGCTGCCGTGAATGCATCACAGAGACGAAATAAGGGCCATCCATCCCTGGCAACTCATCAGGCAAATGGATCTTATATCACTTTTAAATATCAACTCTCGTCTGCGCTGAAATTACAAATTAGAAAGCAAAATAGTACAGCGCCAACAACCGACCTGCGTGTACCTCTCCGTATATTCCAAAAAATATTCTGTATTTATTGTAATAAAGATAATATCTCTAGAAACGGGAGGCTGTTCCATTCGATGGTGTGGAAAAAATAGCAAAACATCTAATTACAAAACAAACGGTACCTATCAGATTTCATTGGTAATTAAATACGTAATTTTTCAATTTTCGTCATTTATAGCAAAGCTCAAGTTAAACTAGTCGATTTGAAATGAAACAATTGACGACACCCTTCAATTGTTTCGAATTCGGGCTGGTCAATCGGATCGCAGTTGTCACCGTAATGATTTGGCAGAATAGTTTTCAAAGAAATTAAATGACATTTCGTTTCCATTTTCATTTCATATACAATATACTGAAAAGAGTCACTGTATTTATTAGTGTGTCATTATTATTATCACCTACCAATGTAGAAAAACTTTTCTATATTGTCACGGGTCTGGGTGTTTGTGGTACCGTCGTTGTTTCAGAGTTTCTTAGCACAAGTGCTTTAGTTACATAACGGAGCAACGTGTGTGATGTCCAATATTTATTCATTAATTATTAATCGTTTATATATGTAGGTTATGTTTGTTTCCTCCTTTTTCCCTATATAAATAATAATTAATTACATACGTAGACGTAAATTGTTACTAGTTTATTAACAATAAAATTATGGGTCAAGTCGAAAATAAACGATGTTTTATTATTTTCATTTGTTAGAATGTTGATACGAGTTGACAACTTGACACTATCACAGAGATACTATTTATTTACAATGTGGCTTGGAGTCCAAGATTTATATTTAGCGCATTTGTAAATTATATTTTTTTTCTCGGCAATCTCCAATAAATGCACCCAAATACAAATTTCCATATATTTTTATTTCAACATTTAATCTGAATTCAGATAAGTACTTTATTGTTTTGTTTGGATTTCCTTTTAATTGCCCCTTGATTTTAATTTCCTTGTCAGCTAAGTCGAGCTAAAATAAAAATCTATATCATCATCATCATCATATCAGCTGGAAGACGTCCACTGCTAAACATAGGCGTCCCCCAAACATTTCCAGACCACCCGATCGGACGCGACGTGTATCCATCGGTTACCCGCCGCCCTGACCAGGTCATTCCTCCATCTATAGGGGCCGTGCCACTGAACGCCTTCCGGTTCGCGGTCTGCATTCGAGAACTAGAAGTAGAAAAATGCCGAGCATGTTGGCTCCATAGCTCGTTGAGTGTGACCATGTCACAGAGCCGTAGGTCATCGCTGGCAACACGTACTGCTTGAAGACTTTTGTCTTCAAGGACTGCGGTATTGCGGACGAGAAGACGTCCCGGAGCTTCCCGAAAGCTGCCCAACCGAGTCTTTTTCGACGATTGACCTCTTTCTCGAAGTTGGCCCTGTCTAATTGGATGGCTTGTCCGAGGTAGACATACTCGTCAACAACTTCGAGAGTAGCGGTTTCCACTGTTATAGGGGTGGGTACGACATGGACGTTCGACATAAGTTTCGTCTTGTTCTTGTTCATTTTTAGACTCACCTGCTGTGTAACTCAAAAAATGGTGAGTGATGAACTCGCCATTGATGTTGATGCCAAGTCCTTTCTAGTCCCTTTTTTTTTTTTTACGGGGGGGAAATCTTTATGGATACCCCTGAGCCCAGGGAGACTCAGGGGTTATGTGGGGACTCCCGCCAGACTGGAGGGCCTACCCCACTAAAACCCCCCCGGGTTCCTTTCTAGTCTCCTAGTAACTTGAAGACATCTTCCAATGCAGTGGTGCAACGCACCCCTCTTTGCAATTACATAGGCCATGCGCACTGGTCCTGGAGTCGAACTGACATAGTGGCGTCGTTGTAGAGCCTGTAGCACCGGTCAAATCTCGATCGAATCAAAGCTTTTCTTATAGTCCACAAACGCTGCATAATGGCAGGTTATGATCCGCGGTCTTCTGTATAACCTGTCGCAGCGTGTGGATGTGGTCTATGGTACTGAAGCCCTTTCGGAAACCGGCTTGTTCGGGGAGCTGGAAGTCATCGCCTATGCGCCAGACAGTTCGTGGTGACTCGTGAAAATGGCTTAGAAGCGAGATGGGCCTGTAATTCTTCAATAGGGTGTTATCTCCCATTTTGAAGAACAGTATCATCACGCTTCTATTCCACGCTTCTGGTGTAGAACCTTCGAGCAAGGGTGAATTTAAGAGCTTCTGAAGGACTCTTAGGTGTTCCACCCACTTTCAGAAGCTCGGATGTAATTCCGTCGTCACCCTGTGCCTTGTTGTTTTTTAGCTGTTTCAGAGCCAACCTAATCTCGTACAGACTAATGTCCGTAATATCCTCCGTATAATGTCGGGTGAGCTTGGCTCTAGGATCTTTTGAATCAGCAACAGGCTGAGTAATCGAGGCATATAGCTGGATATAAAACCTCTCGATCTCCCCCAGTACCTCTGGCTTTGACGTTCAACGCTGCCCTCCTTCGTCTTCAGCTTTGTAAGCTGACTTTGCCCAATAGACATGTCCCTAACAAAAACTTTGGAGTACTTGTTCCACTCCATGGTATCTTTAATATTATTTGTATTAAAGACCCGTATGTCGTGTCGCATGGACTTCCATATGTGTCTATTGAGCTGTCTGTAGGCTTTGGCATAATCGGAGGAGTGCAGCGTCATATCGCGTCGATTTGCCATTAGCTTGAGAGTATGATCGGAGAGTTTCTGCGGCCTATCCTTGCGATGGGTCCTAAGGAATTTTGACCCAACCGTGTAGATCGTTTCCACCAACCTATTGATAATCACGTCCACAGAGACGCAGTCCTAAAGGCAGTCGAAATGATTTTGAAGTTCGAGCCGAAACTTTTCAGGGTCATTTATATGGGCATTTATATTTATTCGTAGAGTAGACTTCATCAGTCGTGACCTCTCACGTTTGACATCCACTCTTACCATCCTATGATCGCTTCCAGTTTTTTCCAGTTTTCACCGATCACCGAAACATTGTTAAATATCTGTCTCTTGTCGGTCAATATCATAGATTTAGTCCTATATACTACATCTATGGTCAATATAAAATCTATCTCATTAATTGTGACATCGGGACTTAACCATTTACTTTGAGGCGATTTTTTGAAGAAGGAGTTCATCATAAAGAGTCCCTCCTTTTCCATAAAGTCGTCCAGTCTTCGGCCCCTGGAATTTCGCTGCCCATAACCAAATTCCCCCAATCTCGGCTCATGAGCCATTCAACTACCCAGCTTGGCGTTGAAGTCCCTCATGACAACATTGAAGTGTGTTTGGGAGGTATGCATGGCTTGACTTATGTCGTCATACATAGCCTTTACCTCCTCATCTGGATGTGTCGAGATCGGTGAGTTACCTGTATGACCTTCAGCGAGTAGCGCTTGGATACTCTGAGTATATACGCAACCCTGCTCGATACACTCCCGATGGATGTAATGTTGCCAATGAGGGATCTGTGGACGATAACACCCGGCACCTTGGGACTGCTGATCATCTTTCCTGAAGTAGAACAAGTTGCCGGATATCAGGGCTATCATGTCCTTCACCTCTCTACGGACCTCCGACATATCCCAGAGTAACTTGTCCACCTCCCAGCTTCCAGCCCGACGATCCACTCGCCCGACCCCAGTGTGCGTGCGTTATACGTTGCCAGGGCTAGAGTCGTTCGACGATCGAATCCCACCCGGTTGCTACTGGCGCCGCCGGGCACTTGGGGATACTTTTCTATGCTATACATTGGGGGGTTTAAGACTATTTCCCCGCCACACAGGTTCAATGCGTGTTGGCAGCTCGCTAGAGCCTCGCCAGAAGGAGCAGGGTGTACCGCGTGCAAGTGAGGTTGGCTATTGAGCACCGATAATTGGTGATGAGTGGCGCCTTTTAAACCCCCCCTAAAAAACTATATACTAATACATATGTAGTAACAATAATCTATATACTTCCAAGTCGATGAGTGCGTCCATAGGGTTAGCACAATAGGAAAGGCACGACAAGCGCGAAAGCGACATAGACCGCGTGATTTCTATGCGGGAATAACATATGTTGAGCTTTATGTCGCTCTCGCTCAGTCGCGACTTATCGTGCTAGCCCTCCTGGTCTCTACTCAGTGAAGAGCAATGCCCTCCTGGTCTCTACTCAGTGAAAAGAGCAATTGATATAAATCCATCGACAGCCGGAAATTGAAGATTGCGAGATATTAAGGAGAACAGTTGTACTGTATAACTATTTTAAACGATTTCGTATGAAAGAATGCAAGTACGCCACGTCCCTACATTCTCAATATTTTCATTCACACATTATGATACTACGACTTTCTAGAGATGGTCAAAAACTTTCCAATCACATGGCTAACGGCATAGTCATAAATTTTCATGTGGTTATCAGCGAAATGCGTGTCGCCTTAGGATATAACAATGTTTACGGTATTGGCAACAGTGGTTATCTTTTCCGAGTAGCCCGGGCAGAAGTCAAGGCGCTTCAGAACAGATAACGGGTAATTGTCTTGCGAAGTGTACTACTAGCTACTACAAGTGAGGTCATAGTTTCTAATTTAATCACATTTGTATGATTTCAGGCTTGCTGGGGCGGAAGTTTAATACTCTCCTCAAAATACCGGTACCGACTGAAAGGTATTGAACAGTGAGTGTTGGATTTTTAAGCTGAAGCTTTTTAATAAAGTCTATTCTTTTGAATAGTTTTTATTATATCCGTATTTCACATATATTTAGATAAGTTGAAATATAATTATATATAAAATAAAATTTATAACATATAAAATATATGTGTTAAGTCGAATTACATGATCATGCACACATTCCAAAGCTATCAGAATATATTTCCCGGAAATAATAATTTAAGTTTTAGCAGAGTTTAAATAATAAACAATATTTTTTATTATGAAGTTTATTATTTTGAGTGAATTTGCTGCAATAACTTCGCCCAGCCGGAATCATAAACGCTGCTCGTTTATTTAAGATTGATAGCTTGAAACTCTTCGTTATGGATACATCTGTACACTTGAGGAATATTGATTTTGTTTTATTTTTTACAATATCAAGTGACAGAACGTACAAGTTGTGCAGATGTACTGCCATTCAGAGCTTTTAATGGCAAAGAATGAGGGGCACCGCCACTACGCCTGTCGCCTTGAGACCAACTTAACAAGTCTCATTTTAAACGTAGAGAGATAGATATTCAAAACATTCATAGTATTTATACGTAACTACATTTTGTTGCTTGAAATTTTATCTACGTATGCATACTCAGTTTTTGTATTTATTACAAGCTGTGCCCGCAATTTCATACGCACACAAGTATCACTTACGTATCAACTAATATATAAAAAGGAAACTGTTTGTTGGTTATAGTTTCCATTTGATAATATACCTAATAATTACACTAGTAAAATTTTCTTTTTACCATTAAAACTATTACTGTGGTTCTTTCATGCTTACATGAAAGCTACGTATATCATGTCGCTGATTTTTTATGTAGATAGATAAAAACTATTTCACTTCCATGACAACCTTTTTACTAAAATCAACTAAAAGTAATTAATATAATACTAAACCATTTAAAAATAACAAATAATAGGAGGAACTTACAAGTTAATATAAAAATAATTAAACTAGATCTTTTTGGAAGCCAAGGCTGTGAAAAGGCGCTGACTTAGTAATATGCTGCTGGTGTTAAGCCTGGACCCCGTAGATCTTATGAATTATTTCTGCATTGGTTTTTTATTCGTGGAATTCACTTGACCCTTTCACATTATAGGGCAGATTCAGTATCATGGAACCCTCACAAAATGGTTGGCGTGCCCCTTCAGTGTTCTGTTTTCTTGGTGCGGAAACGAGGTCTACTTCATAGAGCCAATGCGGCCGCTGCACAGTACCTCTTCCAACAGGACAAGTTCTACGACGTGAGTTACGATACTGGAGACAAAAGCGTTCAATGCGGGCGCAAGGTGAGTTTGATGGGAATTGTCATGTTATTAATGACAATGATTTATGTATTTGAGCTTTTTAGAAAACTATTTATTTATTTGAGCGTCTTAAAAAGCTTAAATAAATAAATCAGTCGCGATAGCGGAAATCGCGAGATACTATAATAATGTAATAATAATAATAATAATAATAATAATAATAATAAATTCTTTATTTTCTCACCACAATACATTACAGTGATAATAATAAAAGTGCAAACTATACCATGATAAACATTATTGTGGGAGACTGATGCCTAAACCGGCTCACAGCCTGTATTTCAGGTCACCAGGTCTCTAACCCTCGGAATACATTTCTATGGGTAACATTAACGCAATAACTATACGCTATACTCAATGCGGCATGAGTGAGATAAATACTATTTCAAAATTAAGTAATTTAAGTTTAAGAACTTAAAATATAGAATTTATACATAAAAGTCTAGAATCTAAGAGTTAATAGGGTTAGTGCTTTGAGCGCGCGCGAATGTTGTGAGTGTGTGCGCGCGCGCATGTGTGTGGTGTGGTGTGTATGAGTGTGTGTGTGTGTGTATGTGTGGCTGTGTGAAAGATGTTACACTATGTATTTGTACATTTTCTTTGTTTTGTTTTTTGTACCTCAGTTCATTAACAATTCAAAAGATTACACATTGTAATAAATAGGAGCAGCAAGTAGCATCTGAAGGCGCCCTAACATATTATTATTAAAAAGTAGCAATATTGCCTATATATACCTTGTTTAAAGAACACTATACCGTGGTTGTACGAAGAGTTAAATAGGAATGACAAATTCCAGATCGACGCGTTCAAATTATGGCTGCTCTGGAAGGCGCGAGGTGATTCAGGTCTTGAACGCCTTACGGATCGCGTAATGCATATCGCCGAGTTTTGCATGGCGTCTATTGCGTCGCGGGAGGGGTTTCGGCTAGTACACGATCAGCTGGATTGCCCCAACGTGTGCTTCTGGTACATACCGCGATTTATGCGCGGGCACGACGAGAACCAGCAGTGGTGGGAGTTGATGCATAAGGTATGTTGGCTTGTTTTGTAGTTTCTCTGGACCACTACTATCAATGTAAATTATCATTATTAGTAGTGAAATATACACATAGATAGTTGTTAACTTCTGCTACGAGAATAAATTTTTGAAAACACAAATTCGGTGTTCGAAGAATATATACATAAGTATATCTAGTCCTTACAAACACAGTGGAAGAGAATCCTACTTCAAAATATCTAATTACTTACTTGCAGATTACTCCAAAAATTAAGGAGTTATTGACACTAAGTTCTCAACTGATGGTGGCATACTCGCCCGTACGAGAGTACAAGAATTTCTTTCGGCTGGCGTTCACGTTCCATCCGCTGTTGGAAGAATGGCAGGTCATTAATATGCTGGACGCCGTCGAACTGTGCGGTGAGCAAGTCACATCGACCATGATCCACGACGACAAGTGACTTAAGACGGACTAGATCAGAGCCGGAAATTTGCTTTTGATTCAGGCATTCAGTACAACTATTTTTCTTAATATCTCTCGGCTATCTTAGTAATCTTAGTCTATGGCTGTTCGTTTGTGGTCTGAATTCTATAAGTTGCGCTTTGCTCGCTGCAGACCGGACGCACTCAATTGACTGGCAAGTAAAGTAGCTAAGTGCTACGCTTTATTCTGGTTGTTATGTTCTGAATGCCAGATAATATTATATAGAGCGTTTTTTTTAAATGGACAGTATAGGGAAATCCGAAACCATAGAAGATGCAAAATTGTCTTAGGAACCATTATTTTTTTTGTGAAAACAATTTTAGCATATTCAATGTTTTGGTCCAGTGTGGGTTGTCCATAAAAATGAATAAAAGCGATCAAAAATTTTTTTAGTGTATTTATGTGTATTTTTTTAGTAGTTAGTCATGACGGGATCATTTCATTGTATGGGACAAAAAATCTGGACGGCAGAAGTTGGTCATATTTCATAAAATAGTTTTTCATATAAAATGATTAAAATTTACTTATTTTTTTAATGCTAATAGAGTCGAGTTTCTTATAAGGATGATCGTTGTATGATATTCATTGTATCGGAAGAAAAAATTGGAACAGCAGAAGTTGGTCAAATATAATTAAAAAGAAATTTTATACAAAATGAGTAACATTTTATTACGCTAAATTGTTTTCACAAAAACAATTTTCATTTAATAATAATATAATAAAAATATTATAATAAAAATACTTAATGGTTCCTTGTATCTTGGCAAATTCCTTGTATCTTCTATGGTTTCCGATTTCCCTGTACTGTCCCATTCAAAAAGCACTCTGTATATAAAAAAATAGCCATAAATGTAGATTAACACTATCTGTTACAAAATGTACTATGTATCTGTACAAATGTTTATTGTCAAAGAGCAACTCTTAAAGTTTTTTGCTGATTCTTCTCAGGATAATTTGCCTTACGAATGAGCAATAGAGTTTATTCAATATAATGATATCAAGTATAATTTGTTTACCTATGAAATAAAGATATATTGACTGACTACTTGGGGACTAATTTTGGCTATCTTGCTCGATATATTGTTAAAGGAATAAATGTTATTAGAAAAAGGTAAATAGTTTTGCAGCTCCACGTAGGTACTTCAGATTAAAGTCGAAACAAATCTACAATAATTAATAAACACTTCTGGGCTTCTACAATGAGATTACAGTGACAAATTATCCATAGCGACATGATAGCGAAAATTGTTTGTGTACAAAATGTTGTTTCTTCTTGTGACCGCTAGAGGCGCTGTATAATTTTCCATACAAAATTGTGAAATAATTTACGCGTTCGCTAGTGACCGTCACAGTAAAATCGTGGTAGAGGCACCGACTTCAAATGACTAGAATGATATTAATTACACTCGTTTGATTTCGTCGCCTTACTTTCTGAAACTCGTATCTTCAGCACAAAGTTACTAAAACGCAAAAAATGGATTTTATATACAAATTTTACTGATTTCACATCGCACTTCCTTCATATTCACACTGGCTTTTACCTATTCTTAAAGTAATGTATATATCTAAATTAACTTACCTTACTTAACCCTTGATAAGAAATTTCAAATAAATACAAAGTTTTGCTATCTCCAGAATAATCACTCTTTATAAGATACGAGTTTGAGAAAGTAAGGCATCAATTTATAGATGATAAAGTCTAATAAGTACCGGACATAGAGTTTTATATTCGTCGACATCCCAATGTTGCCGAGAAAATTGTACTGTAGTATTGTTGTTTTATCAGTAAATAACGTACAAATACTGAGTTCTCAGGATTAAAGTTGACTCTTACTACCTTGAAACTAATATTACTTATAGAACCACACATGCTCTCTGTAACATATCGTTATGTAAAATGAACATTTTATTGACCGCAGATTTTTAATCGATATTTAATATTATGCAAGGGTCAGTGGAGAACAAATCCAGTCTTGTCAGATTCCATGGTTAACCTTTTGGATTTCAATCGAATGTAACGCGACTAAAACGCAGGCGTGTCTATTTAACACAAAATGCAATCCCTTTGACCTGACTTCGACTTTTCGTGATATATCTATACAGATAGCCGAGTCTCTCCAGCTACTTAAAATGGACCTGTCGTCCAATTTGAACTTCTGCAAATACATAGAACCACATGACCAAATATGTAGCAAGGAAGCCTGGTATTCTTTCCAAAATGAGGTGTGTGTTACTTCATTGGGACAGTAGCTTCAGCCGTATCAAGTGCCTTCATGGCCGAACGGTTACCATGCCGGACTGCCACGCAGAGGTCCCAGGTTCGATTCCCGAGCCGGGAGAAATATTTGTATGGCCTAGATTTATTCGTCTCGTGAATTTGGGTGTAATTTGTGGTGGTATCCATGGCACCCACGAAATAGGGTGTCCCTAGTGCGAGGCAATATTGAGTGTGTACGTTATTATTAATATTATCAAACACAAGTTCGGCCGTATATGAAGTACTGCGGTCACCTATATGTAGATGGCACAGCTAAAACCAATTGGCCATCTTGGATGCAATTGAAAAGCGTGTCAAGAGGCTTATAGGTGACTCGGAGTTGTAAAGGTGAAGCTGCAGAGCCTTGAACACCTCCGTTAAGTTGCCTGCTTAAAAAAATATATTTTAGAATTGCATGACTTAATTCCGCCTTCCCCTTTCCATCTTCGAAGGTCTAGATGCTCACTGGGGTTCCATCTCCAAGTTGTGGATATTTCAAGGATTCGCAGGAGCGTTTCGCTTCCACATTTATGTAGCGAACGGCTAAGAAGTGGAATTCCCTGCCTACAGACTTATTTCTTGAACGCTATAGCTTGGATCTTTTCAAGGCGAGTGTAAAAAGCATGCTTACCTTATCGTCACTTTCCATTAGGTGCGATAGAGGTCAAAAGCGTACTTATTTTTCTAAAGAAGAAATCGGCACACAAGTGACGCGATTGAGGTTGTATAACCAACATGAAGCAGTCAGGAAAATTATCTATATATTTTTATCTAACGTGTTCACTCTACTCTGAGGCATCAACTTTGTGTTGGATATTCTGATTTCAGTAAATTATTGAACCAATAAAAATAACTTTTCACTATTCAGGATAAACGCCTCACATGAAATTGATTATTTTCACTACAGGGAGCCATTTTTATTAAAAATCTATTACAATTACAATTAAGTGAAAGTTTAAGTTGGCTTTGGAAATAAAATCTGTCTGTGAAATGTTGAAAACAATCAGGTTTAAAAAAATATATAGTGTAACTATGTACGTAGGGTTTCCATAATTAATTCACTTAAATAAAAAAATATATATATTAATAATATACTTTATTATTCTTTACTGCGTCCTTTTCACGCTTAACTAGCGGTTCGGTATTAATTGCGTTTTTTTTAATATTAATGGCTTTGTCTTCACATTTAGTCAATGAAAGGTTTGGGAAAGCAGACTTACAAACTATGCAAGAGGTACGGAATTCGGATGAAAAATAATATGGTAGGTTGGGTTGGTGGGTAGCTATTATATATCGGCATACATATTAAAGCTTGATATTATTAATTTCGATAAATAAGGCCTACATTATAAACATGTTGGTTACATAAATACAATAAACTAATTTATGGTACAAACCAGGCCATAAATATTACACATTGATGCTCTAGATCTAAGCCATAGATTTAGTGTATATGCTCTAAGCTTTTAGATCTAAAAAAACACAATCGAGTATAATCGGCTACCTTCGGTTTTGTAGATGGCTGTTTCTTTTGCGTCTGACAAAATGTTACACAACATCACATACATATGTGACAGAGCAACTCGATGGACAGAGACGATGCTTACAAAGTCGAAATTAGACGATCGTCTTTTCCTAGAAAAGCTCAACGCGTAATATACAGGATGGAAAAAATCAATGTGAGAACTACTTCAAATGCTTAGTACGGCTGATTTTACTTAATGAATATATTTAACTTATCATTTTTTCTTCTTTCATTTTTCTTAATACGAAGATCTAATTTATTGGAAAGACTAGACTTGTCTTCGACTCGATCTATTAGTACAATAAAATAGTGAGTTATTAGCTCGTTCAATTAACAGCTCCGGTAAGCTTCAAAATTTGCGAATACATTTATTCATATTAAAAAAAGAAAATAATGTTTTCTTTGAGTAAAATTAGCTTTCTTAAGCAATAAAGGTATGTATGACCCATTGACTTTGTTGCAGCCTGTTTACGGGATGGAACTAAGTACATTTTCTACGTTTGCATTAACAACATTGGGTCGCCACGTTGCAATAACGACGTCCATGAAACTGGTTTGATATTGCGCATTCGGGGCAGATCCACCAGCACATTACAAACGAAACAATTACTTGATTAGTTTGAAATGTTTGTGGTTAGTATTACAAAAGAGATCGCAGAATCAGTATTGTTTGTGTTCCGTGTAACTGAACGCAAGTACTATATTATATACCATTTAAGACGACGAAAAGACGTCGTTTAGGATTGTGTTATCAAAGATCCAATGGTAAAGGCTGTCAATTCGCAAGCAGTACTGAGCACGCGTATTGTGGGCAGTAAGTATTCGTGAGCAGAAGAAACGGGTGTTAAGAGCTTAACCAGCTTTAGAAAGTAGACCCGCTATTAGAACTGCGCGTTGTCAATGATCCATCGGAGATAGCGGTCGACGCGCGCGTAGAGGCCGGGGTGAGAGGCCTCTCCGCATCGGATGCCCCATGAGACCACGCCAATCACGGCCCAACGCCCGCTTGACATCTGGTACATTAACGGACCTCCGCTATCACCCTGCCAAAAACAAATAATTTGCACAAACGCTTAAGTAAGGCATCAACAGATTAATAGAAATGTGGCCTAGCATTAATGAATGAATGAATGAATGAATAAAAGAAGGGCTCGGTCTACACAAATTTATTAGAAGTAGGAAAAGAGAAGCCGAAGAGGGCTTATATACGAAGCTACATATTATATCCAATGTTTTAAACCAGTGAAATTAGGTGAAGTTTAATTTTTCATGATGACTAATAACCACGTCCCCTCGTTTCGAGAATTTTGGTGGAATTGGTAACGTAAAAACAGTGGACGGACAAGAATTTCTAGAGCGATTCAAAATTTCAAAAAGTAAAGAGGGTGATGAAAAGGTACGATGACGATGAAGGAGGTCAGCATTGTCACAATACCGGCCGACCGGAGAATAAATAATCATTCCGGATTTTTGAAACTTAAATAGGAAATATTAAGTTCAATGAGAAGGGGTATAGTAAGAGTAAGTAGTTATGTAGAGAAAATTAGATATTAGAAATTAATTAATGGAGACGCGTGACAAATTTAGATAAGGGAATGATATATTTACGTTAGGTCGATTTCGGATTCGTATTACGTTAAAAAAAATCTTTCGTAATCACCACACACGAGTTTTAGTTCCAAATGGAATTAAGGCAACTATCGTATTATGACTTTGGTGAAACATCTACAAAGGTACAAGCGTTATAAGCGTCAGAAACGCGGAAACCTTGTAAGTTTTAGAAATAATACAATACATATAAGGTACGTTGTGATCAAAGGCTTGTTTAAAGAGTAGTCAGCTGCTAAAGAAGAAGAAAAGTTTGATCTGAAGTTTATTTTAGGAGTAATCAGCCGCTCCAGAAGAAGAAAGGGCCTTTTGAATCAACGTTTAAAGCAATGATTACGGAAAGTGTTTGATGGTGATGAATATTTACACGTATTTCTAAGTTGTCTTAGTTGGTCCGTCTTTAAATAAATGAGTATATTATATAGTTTAGTTAATACAATACGCAAAATAGGCGCCATGTCGTCGAGTTGCGGACACCAGCCCGTTACACCTAGTACCAAGTACCAAGTAATACAATCTTCTAGGTCAATCAATTATCGTGGAGGAATAGAATATTATTTATGAAAAAGAAATTTTGACGTGTTAGGTTGTTACTTAAATTTATTGTTATAAATTTTGGAAAAAACAAGTAAGCAATTATTATGTCAATTATAAGAAATTACAAATTCAATAGAAAATATGATGCCAAATTTAATAGAAAATATGACGCCAAATTAATTAGAATTTTACAAATAATTTGATGGAATGTGATTATGCAATAATGTGGTGTGTAATGATTGGGAAGTAGAAGTGACTTGCAGGGATATTCTCCGAAGACAAGCTGTAAGTCAGGATCGTCTCTGCTTGGAATAACCGACGGTTTAAACTCCAAGTTTCAACGATTTGTGAATCTACACATGGGTAGACATCGAGATATGTAAAAAGTATACTGTTGGTATTTGTGGGCAGTTTGTGTTTGATAAGTTTGTGCTTGTTGTGCCAGAGGTACACCAACTTTGGACAGTTACATTTGTAACCAGCTGAATGTAGCACTAGTCATCTCTTGTCTGAAATATGGGGTGTGTAAGGTGATTGGCAGTGTAATGATTTATGCACTGATATTTCGCACAATAAAATATTTCACTATCTTGTTTATCTTTTTTAGGTTTTCTTAATAACTTTTCATGATATTTCGTTCCACGCCAATGTGGCCTAGCTTTAGCGAAAGTAAAAAAAGGGGTATGCACGTATATATTGTATAAAGGTACGTTGTGACCTAAGGCTTGTTTAAAGAGTAGTCAGCAGCTGCATAAGAAAAGTTTGACCTGAAGCTTAATTTAGGAGTCATCAGCCTCTCCAGAAGAAGAAAGGGCCTTGTGAATCAATGTTTAAAGCAATGGTTACGGAAAGTGTTTGATGGTGATGAATATTTACAAGTTTCTCTAAGTTGTTTTAGTTGTCAGTCTTTAAATAAATGAGATGAATATATTATATAGTTTGGTTAATACAATCTTCTAGGTCAATCAATTATCGTGGAGGAATAGAATATTATTTATGAAAAAGAAATTTTGACGTGTTAGGTAACAATAAATTTTGGAAAAAACAATTATGCAATTATAAGAAATTACAAATTCAATAGAAAATATGACGCCAAATTAATTAGAATTTTACAAATAATTTGATGGAATGGGATTGTGTAATAATGTGGTGTGTAATGATTGGGAAGTAGAAGTGACTTGCAGGATATTCTCCCAAGACAAGCTGCAAGTCAGGATCGTCTCTGCTTGGAATAACCGAGGGTTTAAACTCCAAATTTCAACGATTTGTGAATCTACACATGGGTAGACATCGAGATATATAAAAAGTATACTGTTGGTATTTGTGGGCAGTTTGGTGTTTGATAAGTATGTGCTTGTTGAGCCAGCGGTATACCAACTTTGAACAGTTACTTTTGTAACCAGCTGTGAAATATGGGATGTGTAAGGTGATTTGCAGTGTAATGGTTTATGCAGTGATATTTAAAATGTTTCACTACCTTGTTTTTCTTTTTCAGGTTTTCTTGATATCTTTTCTTGATATTTCGTTCAACGCCAATGTGGCCAAAACTTAGCGAAAGTAAAAAAGGGCCTATGCACGTATATATTGTATCCAATGCTTTAAAAACACTTAAATTACTTGAAGTTCAGTTTTACATGATGATTAATAAGCAGGTCCTCTTCGCTTCGAGAATTTTGATGCGAGTGATGACGGAACATGAAAATGAATTCGAGAACGATTCCACATTTCAAAACCAGTAAAGAGGGTGATAAAAAGTTGGTATGACGATAATGAAGGTCAGTATATTCACAGAAATACGTAATATAAGTAGGTAGGTAACACATATTTGTACATTTTAATTTATTATCTAAATTATTATTATAAACGTAGGAAACGTGCCGGACCATCTGGTTGGAAATCTGCAAATAGCCCGATGTGTGTGATGATACACTTAGTGGTGAAGGTCGAACGCGGCCTTTGAACGAGCGAACGAACTACCAAATTTAAATTAGAAATACGAGAGTGGTCTCATAACTATGTCACTTCAAGCTTAAATAAAATTTTGTTTTGAAATTTATTTTTATTTCTTAATTTCAAGCTTCTTACTAAGTAACTGACGTTTAAAATTAGCGTGAAAATGAAAAATAAATAGAAAAAAAAGTTACAAGAGTTTCGTATAGTATGAAGGTCGAGAAAACGGAATTTTTTAGAGTATTTCGTTCATTCAGCACCCGTCGTATTCACCAGATTTGGACCCCTCTGACTTTTTTATTTGATTTTTACCGATTTGTATCAATTGAGGAAGTGATAGCTGAAACAGAGGCCTATTTTTCAGAATTGAAATATTGCTGGTCAAGGTGTACACAGCTAAAAGGGATTACGTAGAAAAATACACCACAATTAAAAAAAAAAATTCTTCTCAGTCACCGACTTACCAAACGGCCCTCGTGCATTAAGTCCTTCAATTTATTCTATGATATCAACTCTAAGCCGAATGCCTTCATAAGTAGTAGTACAATAAAATGAGACTATCCTCGAAACATTTCCAATGATGTGTAACACAATATGGGACGTATCTCCTATAATCGTATAAGTACCTGACAAGCATCCTTGCCTCCCTCGTAGCCACCAGCGCAGAGTGTCTCGTTGAAAACAGAATCGACGAAGGAGTTCACGCATTTCTCGTGATCCCATACCGGAACCCCCACCTCCATCAGCACGTTGCTGTGCGGACCACCGTACATTTTCGTACCCCACCCTGAAAGAAGAGGTTAAAGTTGGCTCTTCGAAGAAAATACCATTACAAGCTTTGTTTTTGTATTTCGATAATCATAACGTAAATTATTGCTTTTCGGCAGAAATAAGTAAAGTAGCAGCACTTCCCTAAACGAATTCTTTCATAAGGAGCTCTAACACTACTAAATTATTATAGAAACTGGGGATTGTAACCAAATACTCCCAAACATTTCCTACAAATTGTAAGGAATGATAAATTACCAATAACTACAGCAGTTTCGTTGGTGAGCGACATTCCTGGCGGCGGCAGGCAGATCGGCCAGACATAAGTGTTGAATACGGCTGGACGGTGCAGTTTCAAGATGGCGATATCATGGTGATAGTTGGGAACTTCGTAATACTCGTGTTGTCTCTTTTCGATCACTTTGAAGCTGTAGCTACGAGAGTCGTTAGACCGCACCAAGTCATAATCCCCAAGAGTGACGAATAGCTCATCCGCTTTCCACCTGTTAACAAAAATACTGTGTCTGAAAGTCTGTATTGTCGATGTCATGCTAACAACCTGAAAAGTATGGAAAAGTAAATCATACGAAAGACGAGAAAGGTGTAGAATCATCAAGTATATAACCAGAAATAGAGACGAAATAAAGGCCATTCATCCCTGGCAAATGGAATATCACTTTATTAAATATAACCTCTCGTTTGCACTGAAATCACAAATTAGAATATTAGCTGGAATAGTACAGCGCCAACAACTGACCTGTATGTATATTCCAAAAATACTTTCTATTTGTAGTAATAATATTAATAAAGATAATATCTCTAACTTTGGGGGGTTTGTTCCATTCGGTGGTGTGGGAAAAACAGCAACACATGTAATTACAAAACAAACGGAATCACACTTCATCGATAAATAAAAATAATTTTTCAATTTTCATCCTATATAGCAAAGCTCAAGTTAAACTAGTCGATTTGAAATGAAATAATTGACCCTCGTCAATTGCTTCGAACTCGGGCTGGCCAATCGGAGCGCAGTTGTCACTATAATGATTTAGCAGAATAGTTTTTAAACAAATTAAATGACATTTCGTCTCTATTTCTGGTCATAAACTCTATGTCTAGACTACTCTGAGTAGGTTTACCTGACAAATATCCCCGATGCAAACCAATCAAATTTGAGAGCGACTTAGATAGGAACCGAAAATACAACACAATTTTCCTACAGCAACATTTGTTACCTGTGTATTGGACATTATGCAGTGGTTAGGCAGCGCCGCGCGAGCCTAACTTATGTAGCCCAGGTGCAATGTGACCTGGCAGTAGTTTATTTAGTCCGGTCTTCGAAAAACAAGGCACAAAAGACAGAACGCACACGAGTAAGTGTACAAACCACACCCCTAGTTTTCTTACTTTCTTTTACGTTGTGAAAATTTTAACGCTAAAATATTTTAATTATACAAAAAACGCATCATGTTACACATAATACACATATTTTCATTAACCGACAATCCTTACGATGAAAAATATTCATAAGATATAGGATATTTTGTATTTTGACTGTTTATAACATTTATTGCAATTATCAGCCAAAATGGAATTTATTTGTGATAATTTTAGAGTGTGTAGAAGATAGCTAAAGCAATCAGTGGTGTAAAAATCACGAACAACCTAATACGGCAGGTTATTGAAGTAAACAAGCAAAAACGGGACAAAATTTAAATCAAATAACTTCGTAGTGAAGCTTTGTCGTTGCGGATTATTTTACAATAGGACTAAGTCGGTTGGCTAATCATTTTCAAAAATCATAAAGTATGATTTTTTTTTTATTATACAGACAAATTACTCAATTTTCAAAAAAAATGTTTGCCCTAAAAATATATACGTCACACCAGTGTCCTTCCTACTCTGGTATTTGTATTCGTTCTAACTAGTAATCTGGAAGAAAAAGTGCATGTCACAAAATTGCTGTTTATAAAAAACTGTGATATGGTTAAAATGTATTAAACTAATACCTTCTAGTGCAATGCGCAGCAGTAAGCACATGCCGATCAGTGATAAGCACTCCTCCGCAGTACTGCGAGAAGCCTTCTGGAGTAACAGAAGCCATCCATGGCCAGTCCCGTATATTCGCCGGCCGCGCGCCAACCAGTCTCCCCGTTGCGCGGGTGCTTACTCCGCATCCTGGGAATTAATTTATGTTCACAATTAATCTTCATGGCATTATTTCACTGCCTTATCGAGCAAGCAACTCTTCAAGTGTGACAGCTATGATTCCGGGTACACCCATCGCATATGAAACCAAATACTGTCATAGCTCAAAAATGTCGGAATTTTGTAAACACGATTTATTTGCCTAAAAGTGTATTAAGTTATTAAAAGGAATAATTCAATTTACGTCACTTTAAACATTTATACTGTTCAGCGTACCTCTATTTTCAGCGCGTTCGATCCTAATCAGAGCTTCGTTGTTCTCTTCTTGCGGTGCAGTGGCTGGCAACTCCCCTGCCAGTGCTTCTGGCGCGAAGGAATTCTCTTGGATCGGGCAGCAAGCACCGATTGACCTGGAATAGAGTATGCGTTCAATATAGTTTAATAAACGGAAGAAAAAAACAATGGAAGGGAATTAAGCCTCGATTACTATCAGAATCGCAGTCACCAATACCCGTACTCTCATAATATTATATACTGTGAAATCTTGATAATTATTGGTATTGGTAGTGACGCGTAGTTCCTGATTTGAAAATATATAACAAATTCTGGATACTTTACCCAGATCCCATAATTATGGTTGAAAGTTCCATACCTTTTATAGCAAGTTACGATGTTTTGATTTTATATTGAATAACCTAACCTACGGTTAAAAAACCGACCTCAAAAGTCATTCATCCCCTACTTTGGCATCCTTAGAGGTGGAATATTTTCTTCAAATTTAAATAGGACCACATCTGAGGTACCCTCTTTCCAACAAAAAAGAATCATCAAAATTGGTTCACAAATGACGGAGTTATCGCGTAACATACATACAAAAAAATAAAAACATACAGATGAATTGAGAACCTCCTCCTTTTTTTTAAATCGGTTAAAAATGTGCTACCATCTAGAAGCACTATCGCTTCTAGATGGTAGCACATTTTTAACCGATTGCAACTATCTGCAAGGTGACGAGTAATTAAGTTAGTATTAACGTTTAAAAAAAAGTCGACCATATTGCAGCTTTATAAGGTTTATTTTCGTTTCTTATGTTATAAGTAACAAATAATCCAAAACGACCAACCGAAAATGAATAATTTATTAAAATTTAATGAAATAAGACTTAACGATGCATGATATGAAACCATCATGCAGGTCTATCATTTTTGCACTCTAAAGTAGCAACAATTTTTTCCAAGAATTTCAAGATATTGCGCGAAACAATTAGCACGACCTAACGGACAAAGCGAAAATGGCGGATTGAGCACAAGTACGCAGAAGTTCGCGCATTGCTGGAACACGTCACATGTTAATTAAGCAGTTGTACTGTATTTATTGTTCTGTGGCTTAACCTGAGAGAAATGCATGCCACGCTGAACACAATTTCTGTCTTAGCGAATAAGCGCGAGTGTTTAAAGTAAGAATACTTAAAACATCCTAACTCCATAGCACGCTGGTGACCTCCACAAGAGCATACAAGAGTAGTCATACACCTAGTAGGCGATGTAAACTGCTGTATGTCTTAAACTTTTACCTCATGTACCTTTTTATATTCTACGACCCTGACACAATTTTCGCCCCATTAACACTCATTAATGCATACACGCTAGACGTTTAAGGGTTCTTTATACGTGCTGTCTGTTATGTATATTTATTTTATTTATGAGTGTTTTTCTTCTATCATTGTTTAATCATATATCTTCCCTGACCAGGAGATTAAGCTCCACTGCATACGCAGTCCGCAGAATACGTGAGCTTACCGATGTTAGTACTGCTAGACTAGTTTACTTTAGTTACTTCCATAGTATAATGTCCTACGGGATTCTCATGTGGGGTAAAGCGGCAGATATTCAAACCATATTTGTATTGCAAAAGCGAGCGATTCGTTCTGTGTACCGTCTAGGTTCTCGGGTTTCTCTCAGAGAAAAGTTTAAGGAGACTGGTATCATGACTGTGGCATTAAAGTACATTTACTCGAATATTTTATATGCCCGTAAAAATATACATAATTTCAACAAGAAAGAAGATATCCATAATATTAACCTTACAGCTAAATCCAAACTAATGGTACCACGACTTCGTTTAACCAAGGTAAACGATTCTTTTATGGGGAACTGTATACATTTTTACAATAAGATTTCGGAGCATATATTATGATTATCATTTCCTAAGTTTAAAAACTACATTAAAAGTACTTTGATAGAAAAGTCATACTACAAAATTGAAGACTACGTATTAGATAAAGACGTACGGAAAGACGACACGGCTCCAGAATCCACACAAATTTTTATATTCAAAGTGAATTCCATAGCTTTTAAGTTTATTTGAAAAGAGCAATCCCTAGAGTTTCTTGCTCGTTCTTCTCGGGGAAGTCAACGTAGTGAACGAGCAGTAGCTTAAATGTGACGTTGACTTTGACTTAATATTGTAGTGTTTGTAGTAAGACAATAAGGTCCGGCGCCCATTGGCGAGATAGTATGGCAAGGGATTCTTCGGCATTCCTACATGCAAACAATAGATAACCCCCTTGATGCAAGCGCACGCTGGCGGATTGACATCGCGCAATGGAAAGAAAAAAGCACCAGTAGTTCTGTCAACAGAACTGTACAACAGGACTAGTGGGAATAATCGGTGCTCACACCTAGTATAGTAACGTTAAACGTAAAAGTCTGCCGAAACATCCCGAAGGCTGCCGAGGCATCCGTAGGCTGGCAGCTCGGTGTCCCTACGCTAACCGTGGCTTTGTTTTCGTAGCTACGACCATTATTATTGAAATTTTGACCATAATTTTATAATTTTAAGGTACATTACTATTCGTTATACAAAAAATCCCCTATCTATCTGTCTATTCGTTCTTTAAATTATAAATTAAGTAAATCAATTTAGAACATTGTTATATCATGTTATACTGACTTGTCGCTAAGCACGCAGAGGTAGTTGACGAACTTGACGAAATCGTTGTTGTATACTTGTTGCGAACAGTAGCGTAGATGTCTGCAGGTCCCTTGCCGCCCATCCGGGGTCGAACATTTCATCTGCGCCTGCGATACACGAGTTCTATTCCGTCAAAATGAAAATTTGGATCTTGTCTTGCAATACATTTTTGAAGCAGTTCAAATTCAATTCTGAAGTGCTTTTGGTCGCTGCTCAAGAACTGGCTGTTTAAAGCTCGCCGTGTTCGTAAGGTTCGTACAATAATTTATACACAGACTTACAAGTTCCGCAGTAAGTCATTTGAAATAATTATGATGTTGAAATTACTATGCTTTTGAAGAAGATGGTTGCATTGGGTTTAGCGTTAAAGAAATTACGTCATCGCTTTTTAGACATTACATCAGCTACTAGTTTATTAACCCGTTCATTGACAATAACGGCGTTTACCGTAAAATTAAATATCTCAAAATGATAGTACGGAACACTCCTTTTCGTTATTTGCGTTTGAAAAACCAACTATGGGCTTTACACTGTGATTTCCAAATGCTGTTTGTGTAGTTGCCGCCTACTGCTTCTCCATAGAGAAGTAACAATAACGTACTAACAAAATCCAATGATTTACATTGAAAATTTTATATTGAATCAATATAAACACCACGGCAAGGAAAGTAATTACATTTTTGTGTGCAGTACTATTTCAGCAATGTGCATGAACGGGTTAAATTTGGTTACCAAGTTTTATTTTATTTTTAAACGGGTTTTATTTGGTTACTATGGTTCCACCCCATGATTATTGCAACATAAATAGACGCCATCTAACCCATTTAGACGCGGCTCTCCAGTTCTCAGGATGAACCTTTGGTTGTTTATTATGGCTTGACGTGTAATGTTGTTGGCGACTTAGGCATTCGCAACTGAAAACCATATATCGCCTGTATTAATTTTATTATGTAAATGATGCTTAAAATATCATTTAAAGGTGCTTCTTAGTAAGAAAAAAAGTGAGATAAAAACGACGCCGATGTTTTGTAAAAGAAACCTTTCATTCAATGCTTACGTCGTCATTACTGCTTTGCCTTTTCATCCTATTGCCATCCACGTGTGCGTCTATTAGCGACGTGTTCCATGATAAGTCTCTGTACTCCGCTGTAATTGCACAATAACCGAATTTAATGCGATTAAGATTGCCTGAAGTAACGCTTTGTCGACGATAAGTTACATATCATTATATGTAGTAAAGTCGTAAAGAAGCTGAGTCGTTACTTTTAATATTTTAAAATAAAAATCAGTTATGCATACTGAATACACACTACTAAACCTAAAACATCAGATTTCAGAATTTGTCAGTGTGTTTATGCACGCTATTCTGCACAGTGGCTGATTGAATTTGAATTAGTTTGGATAACAAATAAAAAAGATATATCAATTCAGAACATCTCGAGAGCTCTCAACGACTCACGTGCACAAGTCGGAAAGAAAAACAGATCAAACGATTGGATATACGTGAAAATATTATGCTAAAAAAATATTACTCATCAGTAGATCTATAAAAACAGACAGATCAATAAAGCGACACGATACAGCTTTATATTTAAGCAATTATAACGGTATTATGGATAAAAAAAAATTGTAAAAATATATTATCTTTAAATGTAGGTACTTATTAGGTATTTCTTAAAATTATTTAATAAAACTTAAATTATTTCGGTACAAATTAATGATGGTGGTTGTACGTTTACATACGGAAGCATTACGGTAAGGAATATGTAGGTGTTATAGCCAACCAACAGAGTTTCCTTCCGCGGGCACGGCTAGTATGCAACAGAAATACAATAAATATGCGATTATACGTCTTTCGCTATTTGCAGAAATAAAATGTACTTTTTAACAAAATTAAGGAATTAAATAGCTATATGCTGGCATCTAAGTTACGTTATAAGAGTGGTAATACAGCCACGATTGTAAATCGAAACCAGAGAAAAACGCACAACAATATTTGTACTTGGAACGCAAGGGCTTAGATACTTCTTGTATTAAGCCACAGAAGTATTAGTTATAGAAAGTGATAGAAAAGACTCACATCTGTCCACTCTGATTGCAACAACGACTCCAACAAGAAGTAAAATAAGCCAAGCGGCTGAAGCCATCTCTTTATCGTAACTGATGTTACATTGGTATTCTGGGGCCGCAACTGGACACGCCGGATGTCGATAAATAATGAACACACATAATCCACAGGATGTGAAGGCTGATATCAGTTTGTGGACAAAATCCAGCCACAAAACGTACTTATATGATATAAAAGTTTTCAAAAGTTTTACATCATATAAGTACGTTTTTATCGTACACATTTATTCTGTACGATTTCTATATGAAACTAGTTGATTGCCACGCGTCCATCTGAGTAAAATTTAGTAGACTTCACTTTTGTATACCGAATAGGACACAATTCAACTACATCGTTAAATCAACACGCCGCTACATCTTTTTGAAATTTTGTAAAGTTCCTGGAATAAGATTTTTATAGAATAACTTTAGCGCCAGGCTTCTTTCTAGCTTTAACTAAAAATAAAAACGTTTTACAACCGTACCTTGTGGAAAGTTCATACTAAATGCAAACTCTGATGACATCCGCCCTCTGGTCTTTATCACTGAAGTACGTTTCAAAAAAGGTCGAGGTCACGACCCAGTACACCATAATAATGACTAAGTTTCCTGATTTTAGTATGCGTTAGTGTCATGGTGTTCACAATCAAATGTCTTGGAAAATTACGGATACACTTATTGCCTCATGCAAATCTTCTGGATCAAATATATGTTTCATCAACTCAAAGCCAGCATCAGTTTTTGAGCGACCCTAAGCGAAATCAGATTTTTCACGAGGCTTATTACTGACGGGTTACGCCGTGTATCGTTCCTAAGACCCCTCGACCATAAGATTTACGTCTTCCTGTGCGCGGGTATAATACGACTTCGGGTGAAACGCCTCGGATTTTCGAATAACTCTATCTAACTGACATTGGCAACGAGCGCCATATTTTTATGTACTATCAAAGAGAATTTAAGCACTAGACAAAACTGATACTGGCAAGTTTATTTTTTTTCCATCCTCGAAGTACTGGCCTAAGTATAAAACGCCTCGACGCTTTGCTTGATACTGGCTAATTTATTTTATTTCCATCCTCTTAGCTCGCTGCTGAAGGGGCTACGAAGTCATGTAAAGTACTCTACGACAAAGTCTCTGTCAATACGTTCTTGCTGTTATGTTATTTCGACCAAATCCACCGGATCTATTCTCACGCTTGTAGCCTTCTAATTATATGACGCTTGTAGAAGCGTTGCAGTGGTGCGACTGAGGCGTGGCAGTGGCGTGTCTGTAACGTTTCAGTAACTTCCAATTCACAAATTGTGATTGCGAAAACGACTGTGGCGTTGAAAATGCGCTTATATATTATTAAATGTTGTATGAAAGTTAGTAGTGGCGCGATGCAGCGCCACATTGACGCTACTCCAGAGCTTCTATAAGCGTTTAATTTGAAGGCGCCCTAAGGCTGGTTACTGACCACTGCAGATTTATCTGCGGACCGTCGACGCGGAGCAGCGGAGCGGAGTAACGCGTGCGGAGTTAGAACATCATTTTAATTGGTTAGACCGTGGTTTTACAGTGACTCGGATTGATCCGTATGGAACACCCTCCGCGTGAACTCCGCACAAGCCACCCGTGCGTTCATTGTAATACAATAATTGATTTATTATTCATTGTTTCATGTGGATTAACAGAGGTGTTACATAATAGTATTCCAGCACATGAACCCTGTAAGGGCACACTATAACGATAATAACTTAACTAATTATTAATCTCTTAATCAATTAATTATTACAATTATGAATTGTAGGCGACTGACCTAACTAAATTACTTCCTGACTAAATTAAATACTCGATTCAGAGCACTGCGGATTCTACGCGTCAGGCGCGCTCCCTGCCGGCGCACTGTCCGTACGGACCGTACACACAGCTGTGAATCCAGCCTATGATCTTAAACTATATAAAAGCGATATGACGAAATATATTTGTGGCATGTAACTGTGATGTTGTTAGGAAAAGTCTCTGTGGTCCATGAGTCAGTCGTGATGACAAGTTCATGAACTGGGTGGAGTGAAGAATGAAACTGAAATGCACCGCCGATTCGAAAATCAAATCTGTCCAGCTGACCGATTTGATCGTGTGTAGCCGATACCTACTAGCTAAAAATCCTGAAGTTTGAAAGTAAGAAAAGAAAAAACAGATATGAAAATTCGAATTTCACATTTTTGAAAATAGAAGTAGAATTTGTATCATTCTGAATAATTTTCATTTACTTTCAGTTACCAAAAATCTCTTGTGTTGTAAACATTTAAAACATTACAAAAAAACTTTAAAATATTTTTTATAAAACCGGATTTATTTCCACTTATTCTTTTTATTTTTGAATTTTGGAATTTCGGACTTCTCGCTAAGCAAGATGTGTGGAGGCTGCGGAGGCTGCGGTGGCTGCGGTGGATGCTGTGGGTGCTGTTGCGGTGGAGGCTGTGGCTGCTGCTGTCCCTGTATAACTATACACACGTGCTGTACCAAGATTTGCTAGCAATATCAAGATAATTCGTCACCGCTTCGTGGCAATCTTGCTACGTGGGTATGCGTCTGGGCCAAGTGGCGGTGGACGGGTCGTCTCTTCAGTGTAGTGTTCATTCACAGTGACAGTTTTGTGGAAATAAAGTTATAAATAAGTGAATTATAAATAAACCAGTAATTTTAACTACGTATTTTCGTTGAATAGGCTTACAATATGGGGTAAAACCCCAATTTCTCCCCTGGTATGGACAATGTTTCCCCTGGTATGGACCTCGATTTATTTCTCCGCTACCAGTTACTGGTTGGGATGGATGAATTAATTTGGACGTTATAGGTTTTCGCAGCGGTCGAAACTAAATTTCGTTTGTAGCAGTAGCGCTCCTTGTAGAAGTTTTCTGCCGCTAAGCAGTAAAGTGAACAATTAGTGCGTTCGTTCCGGTTTTGGAGGGTTTAGGGTGTTGGTTAAATAACAGGCACATGGGACTGATGTTTCAGGGTGACTAGTGGGGAGGGTGACTAGTGGGGATAAACGGTCAGGCGCAGTGGCGAGAGTGCTGGTTAAGGCACATTGGGCTCGTAGGGTGGCGAGTGGGAGCGCCTGCGGACCCGTGCTGCACCTGGGGTTCTCCACCTGGGTGAAGCTCGGGGTACCAAGAACTCGTGCTCCACCTGATAATATCCCACTTGCTCGTGGACCACCTGATAATATTCCACTTCTTGCTCGTGGACCACCTGACTGGTATGTCCACCTGGAAGGACTATGGGCAATTATTTATTCCCGTGGTTCACCTAGGGGTTTTTCTTTTCTCGTGAATCACATTAGTAAATTCCGTTATTGCAAAATATTTTGTCTATTAATTGAAAATTTCAATGAATTGAATGTTGGCATGAGTTGGCCGAAGGTGTCAGAATGGCGGGTGTATTGACTATCAGTATGTAACTTATTTCAACAATTTGTTCCTTAATATTACTCGAGCTTGATCTGCTGGTTAGTTTCTGAGAAATAAAGACAAGATGTACACGGCATTTATTTTCTTTGTACCTCTATCATAACGAAGTTATAGCGATGGGAAAAAAAAATCCCAATAGTTCTGCCGACAGAACTACTCAACAGAACAGGTTACGTCTTTTAAGTAGGAAAATTCAGTATTTTTCTGGTCCAAAAACCGGTGTCTTGTTTTATACAGTGTTTTTTTTCTTCTCTTCATACGAAGGCATTTGTACAATAGTCTCTTCATTATCGTTGTTGTTTCCGTAATATTTTGATGTTTTTCAAAAATCTTCTTTATTGGGGTCATTTTAGTACATATTTCTTACAAGTCTTATTTCCTTACAAGCATCAATGACCATGTCTCTCACATTTTGCGAATGATTGCTTCGACAAACATGCAAGCTATTTGGCCTCAATATACCGTTCCTGTCTACATTGAGAGTCAAAGAAGCGTTGCACTCGTTGCGATTCACGCATCTCCACATAGAGCTGCCACTTTTATTGTTATTCCCGAAATTGTATCTATAGCCGTCGTATAACAGGCACGGCTTTCCTTTTTGGTTTTTAATAAAAGTAAGTTGGGTTTTTGCGTTCATTTTATTCACGCGTACGGCAAATGGAAATAATATAAATAATGACTATAATGACAACTGTTTTGAAGTGTCTAATCATTGTCAAGTAATTCCCTTCATTTTTAAAATTTCTAGTGGCCATACAAAGATAACGAAGAAGTTAGTATTCTAGATGACATGAACAGAAAAGAGCACGCAATACACTTTTGTAATGGAATGTACGAAATACCTTTGGTATTTAGTAATTTAGTCATTATTAGATAGAGTCGATATGAATTTCAGGCATTTAGGGGCTCAAGGTATTTTGAGTTTCAGATGATATGTGAAGACGTAATTTTGATATTAAGTCCACGGTCCCCGGATTGGGGTGGGAATATCTGAGATTGAAGCAGGGTGTAAAGCATAGTCTTATAAATCACAGAACCAATGGTAAAAAAATCCCAATAGTTCTGCCGACAGAACTACTCAACAGAACAGGTGGGAATAGAGGATATTTTCTTGTAAATTGTAAATTATTATTTTGTAATATTTTTTTTAGTTTCCGCTATTTATTTGGGAAGTACGCAAAGGTTCCACCATACAGCCTTAACATATCAGTATTTTTCTTTGGAAAAAAAATATTAAGTATTTTTCCTAGTTTTGACGGAAAAGATGACAAGCGTCTGTTCTTAGATAGTTCATTTCATGCAATGGTCGGAAAAAGGAGTTCCATGTATATAGATACATGTCTTAGACTATGGAAACTAAAGGACATGTTACGTTGACATATATAACTTTATATATGTATATAATGCGTTTCGACGTCGAAAACATAAACATGTTATTGTTTAACTATTACGTGCTGTCTTAAGCCAAAAGAGATAGCATTACATGGTCTATGTCAAACACGGGAATCGAAAATACGTAACGTCATCTTAAATGCCAACCGTGTCCACTTCGCAGTACATGAGGTACATGCTTAGAGGCTTAGAATAATAACGCATAGAAACCTAGCCCGCACACGCTAAG